GACAGCCAGGTGATAAGGCTTTGCAATAGTGAACTTCTGCTTTTGTGGTCGGCTTCTGGGAATCATCTTGAGTGACTTTTGATGTCTTTAAAAACTTTTTGTGCAGGCCTTCGGCTGCCAAATAGCGAGAACCGCCTGACAAGCAAAGGTAATTGTCTGGATTAATACAATTATTGTTTCCGAGCTGGAGGATGTATCAAGATAAATTGTCTGGTTGTGCGCTAGGTCTAGAAGAAGAGTAGGACTGAGGTACACTTCGAGAATCGCAGCAGGCCTTTGAAATTCGGTATGTCCATAGTGGGATATTGCAACCAATGTTAGTGCACTGCTTGTTGTCAAGATACGCGTACATAGAAAGAGAGCGGATAGCTTAAATCGCGTTGTTTGTCGCACTCTCATGAAGAACAGGGCGATCTAAAGGATGGGTTTGGCGGAGCATATAACCTACAATCGCAGTGAGCGATAAATGCCGTATGGGCTGGAAGGGTTGGTGATATCCGTGCTAGCACCAAGGAGATGCATACCCGTTTCGATACGTAAAGCCAGGATCGCCAGACTGCAATAATTGGCTGTAGGTAAAGTGATACTATTATTGGAAATGATAAAATTAAAAAGATGACTGAAGGAATGGTGGCGAAAAGGAGCAATTCGAGTTTCAACATGAACTCGAATGCGTTGCGACAGCCATCTACAATAGGACCAAATAGTTTGTCGCTGATGTAATCTGCGAAATCCATCGTGGTAACAATTAAGATGTTCACCTGTGTCTCTTATTCTCGTGGTTGCAGATATGATGTAGGGTTGGCTCTGGAGTTGACATGAGTTGACAACTATCCAAGGTTGATATCAGTGAGCCTCACACCTTGAGAAATTCCAAATTCTAGACTACGTCTCGTTGCAAGTCCGATCTCTTACGTGGATACATATCGGAGTATATCGAGGCTCGGATGCTCGGTGTGGTAGATATGAGTATCCGGCGGCTACATCCTTTGCTTGATTTGGTATCCGAGGTCACATGAAAGTCATCCTAGAATGAAATGTTGCCGACACACACATTTTTCATGAATGTGCATACACCATGTCGAGTCCTGCAGTCCTATGCATTCTTTCACTAGCGTCCGCCATAATTTTGTGCATACGAAATATGATGAACTTGAGAAGATGCTTTAGCTATGTGATGAACCTTGGTTCACTATGGAGTCTTTGGAGTGTTAAACTACAAAGTGAAACGTCCAAGCAGAGGTCAAGCCATCGAAACAAATTTGCCATAACGAACTTTTTACATGGACCGAGAAGTTGTATTGGTCAATCATTTGCCAAGACAGAACTTGTTAGCGTCTTTGGTCGGAGATTATGAATTCGTGTTGTCAAAAGAAAAACCTATAATCGGCAAGGAAATTAAAGTATCAAGCAGTGCTATGGTAAGACCAGAAAAGGGACTCCGGATGCCAATTCAAACGGTCAAGCCTAAAGTGGGAACTTCAAGCGAGAATTTTGCCTTGGCCAACCTGAACTTTACTCCACTCAATTCTCTTCTATTCAGGTAATTCAAAAAGCTCTAGCCACATGTCTTTGTCTTCTTTAGAGTGTCCCGATTATTGCTCAGCCATGAATAACCAAAGTTGCTATCACGATCCATGACCTAGCCTTAGTTTCTTATCCTCAACCCAAACCAGCTCTTACAGGTGTTATTAGTGCCCAGTTCGCCCAGGAATGCGGGCAACTATGCTTACGGATAGAATAGACGTCGCTACCGCTATTTCATGATGTATCGTGGCAGCACGTTAATTTAGCAGCACGTTATGCAGCCTTCCTGTGTAGAAGTCAGCTGATTTGGAGGCCTTTGTCTGTATCGATACCCCCTTTTCTCTTATGTTCATTCTGATACTCCCTTTGTAGAGTCTTCGCCTCAACATTTTTTTGCATTCTCCCTACACCGAGTATTATACTTACGTTCGTGCTCGATGGTACCTGTGAGTACGTCAGCCTAAATGTACAGTACAACGAGTATGAAGTAAGGAGGAGAGCAACAAGGATAAGCGGAAAACATACCGTTCCAACAGGGCAAAACGTTGAGGCTGGACATAGGGTAACACATCCAGGCGGCTTTACTATTACGCGCGCAGATGCGAGGGTAGCAAGCGCTGTTACAATGATGGTAAAGTACTTCATTGTCCTGTATGATCCTGCGGGAAAGAACTAGAACCAAGGTGTTTTAAGTGATCTCAGAATGGGAGAATTCACACTGTGCGATGAATGAGAATGAGAAATAAATTAGAAGACAGGTGGCCGAAGGAAGTTTATTTATATTCAAGCCTGTGAGATTATACAACCATTCAGCCCTATGCGACTTAAAACATAACAAGCATTGGTTTCACTTCTTAATATAAGATGCCTGGTTAGCATGAATGTGTACTCAGGTAAGGGACTGTTTGATGGACAAAGTTTGTTATGCAACCTCGTCCCCAAGGTTTAATCATCTGCAGCGGCTAAACATACTTGACTGAGTTGGACTTGAGACATTCTATTATACTTATATTATGAAAATATTGCCTTTTATGACTTAGGGCAAAGCGAAGCGACTTGGTAATGAAACAAAATCCTGGTAGCTACCACAGTTTGGAAAAGTTTATACGTTGTTTACGTGCACCTCATTGCAATGTTAGAACAGTGTACATACTTACGAAGAGCATATGTTGTCTTTCAAGTCATTCAAATTCAGTATCTATTTTTGATGCTATTGCTCTTGTTACCGAGGGTTCAAGCCACTAGATACTCTGTGGTACAGTTTTGATCGATGACAGGAGGTTCAAACGGGACGGCACGGCACGGCACACAACGATACAGGAGCAGTTTCGTCAGCACAGGTGCTTACACCAACTTACGGCAATCATCATTCGTCTACGCACTCGTATGCTGTAGGTGTTTAGAAGAGAAGATGACCGCCTCTGTACGTCTAGTGAGGAAATTATTTCTAGAGCACATGGGCGGCAAACAATTGAACCATGCACTGTGGATAAATAGGAACTCCACTGCTATTTCTGAAGTCTGAAAACTTGCTAGAGTATGATGATAGAACAAACACTCTCTACTAGGTTCTCAGAAATGATAGAACTTGATGTTCAAGAGTTAAGTAGATGCCTGAAGTATTGGGATCGTACCTATCCAAATAACATTTAGACTTGACGCTTAGCTCTTATTGCGAAACCTCCTATTTGACTATCAACACAACACCAGTACAGAAAGACAGCGAGTTCCTCATGAAATACAACCTCTAGTACACCCAAATTGTTGACCGCCTCAAGCCAACGATTCTTATTCTATGGGTATGAGGCAAAATGCTCTGCTAAAGTATTAATGACTGTTCACATATAACAAAGCGTTCATCTCACACTAGCCCCAATGAGGTATGTAGAGACGGTGGCGAGTAATGAGCCCGATTTTCCTACCGTAGCTTGTCAAACACTTCCTTTGCCTTGAGTACACTGACTCAAGCATAAGTACTAAGATACACACCGATGTACCTCGGCACCGAGGCATGCCTGTACGTCCAGTCAAGAGCGATTGATTAAATATTTGATTGGATATCAAAGCTGCGAAATATTCCTCCCGTAGCCTCTATACTTACGAGCCCCTGGGGTATACATGCTCCGAGCGTTCCGCGACTCCAGCGGATGATCCGTGGGTACGGACTTTCTGCGGCTCCGGACGTTCCGCTCGCAACGTAGGGATGTACGTAGAATAATGGCAGCCCACGGTATTTTTTGCCGCACATGAGCGGAGGAACTTTCGGGCCACTTACTCTTCCTAGTACACGTCCAGATGGGCCTCTTTAAAGTCCCCCGTCCGGTCCGGTGAATTAACAATGCTGGTGCTTGCTGCCGCCATGAAGCTTGATGAATTGCTTGGCCTGCTGCCATTCTCCTGATCTAGGCCTATAGGGCTCCTAATCCAAGCATTCCATAGTGCCCTGTGCATGCTCGGGCTGCTACTGCTTTGGTGTCTGATGCGTCCACTTCCTATATAACAACCCTGTTAGTGTATGGTTAGTATATCTTGGGAAAGTGGGCAATCAAACGATTTGTCAAACCATACTGCTTTTGAGTGTATACGCAGTAGTTTTAGTGGACACCCTGTTAGCATGTATTGCTACTCTAGATATGTATACAGTGATCGCAGATCCAGAATTCGGGTAGTGTGATGCGATCCTGGGCAACGATTGTGAATATGTATCTCCACAAAAGCTTCCTTCACAGAATCGCTGGACGTGCCTATGTTAAAGAAAGGTATTTGGAAGAACGTTCACATTAAGGTCAAGGACTGGCTTGGTGACTTGGATATGTGGTCATATATACTTCTTTGTTTCATATCTACTACAAGTACAAGTGGGGTGATAAAAACTAAACCCTTCCAGCGGGTTCAAGCTAACACCTTGCCAAGCTGAGAGCAAAACTACACAGTTCCATTGCTGCGTCTCCAAAATCATGAGTTGTGCTTAGCGATATTCGACTGAAAAAACCGATTGCTATACCGATATATGGTATATCTATTTCACAACTGGTCTTGTGAGAATACATGTAAGTTGGGATGCTGTCAGTGACTGCTATGCTTCTTTCTGCCTCTGCGATCGAGGCTTTTTGGATGATTCCCGTTGCGATTATGCACGTCGCCAAAGATATAGCTGAGCAAAGTTCCCTATAAGAAGAAGTATTAGTCGATGATCTTGATGCATAAAAATACCAAATACAAGGAGGTAAGTACGAACCAGTCATCACACAGATCAGACCAGGATATGTGTGAGCTCAAGTTGAGTATTTGGCGTGCTGACTCGCAACGCCGTTCTTTACTCATATCTGTGGCCTCTATCTCCGGCAGTGAATAGATTGCAATGATGGCAAAATGAAATCTGGTGATATAGGCTAGCCTGTGGCGCCTCTCGGTACACGGAAGGGCCGATAAGTTATCGACGTTGAAGTTGAGTGAAAAGTTGGTTTTCCACATCATGAGACTGTCTTCCAGCCGACATAGGGTGGAGGCAGGGCTTTGTTCGCAGTAACCTCTTCCACAGCAAATTGAGCAGTCTCGGCTGTCATGTCGTTGGCTGTGGAGTTGTCGTAGAATTCCCGAGCAAACATCTGCGTACCTGACATACACACCCAGCCAGTCGGGTCCTCTATCTGAGGCTTTCTGGGTTGAAGAAATCTTGTGATCCGCATATTCACCGTGTATTAGCTAGAGAGTACAGAGTTAGCGGTTGTTGCCATGAGCGAATCGTCCGTCTCAAGGATGATTCTATGAAGCACCTTGTTACATGATGAACTACTTACTGGCAAGAGTCCTTCTTGTAGAGAGTAAAGCTTTTCCATGGAGTAAATTGACCAGAAAGCTCTCTTGATATTTGTTTGCTCCAAGCGGTCATTAGATAACTTATTGATCGCACTGGAGCTATGGAGACGAAGGGTTTGAAGGCACGAAGTGGCGTCCGCCATTAAGCTAGATGTTGAACTAGCACCAATAGTATGTGAAAAGTAGGTCTGTTGCTCATCGTTAGTTCTTTATGTTCGAGATTCATACCATTTAAGCAATGGATATCATGTACTAACCATGAGAAGTAGGGTCTTTCAAGTCACAAATTCTGCGTTAGCAAATGCTTGACAAGTGGTATTGATATATTTCTCCGCTTACCTGTGATTTCAAGAGGCTGGCCTCATCATACAGGCTAGGTCTCATGCGTAGAGCTATCCTGAAATAGCCTATTGTTGCTCCTTTGAGTATGCCGTTACCATGACTGAGGTCCAGACGACGAGAGCCGATGGCCAATAAAGAGAATACTAAAGCGATACTAGTCGGACTGCTGACGAAAGGGTTCGAGATGATTTGGTCGACTAACTTCTCTGCAGACTCAGAGTCCAGGCATATGCTACCCCTGTTCAACGACTCGTTAGATTATCGGCACACTAATATCCTCCAACTGAATCTTGATCAGTGCAATGGTATAACATACTCATATAGTTCTGCAAAGCACGCTAATCATATTCGTATTAGCATCCCGTGTTGTCTCGTACAGATTGGGTAGCAAGTTACCATTTATGCGGTTGTGAAAGAATTCTTGGTTAAAAGAGCGCTCAGATCGTACATCGGTAAGAGCTGCCATGATGTCCATTTCTCTAGCAGAACAATACTCAGTCATCGGTGAGTTCGCTGCCAGAAGCTTTTGTGATGCTTCTATGACGTGGTTGTTCTTTTCACCATTGAGATTTCTCATGCTTGTCAGTAGCCAAGAGTGAAGCGACGAGCGAACATGATCGCGATGTGGTGATTCCTCTGTCACATCTTAGTCAGAGTCGTAAGCAGATTTAGAGTGAGTCAGGTCAAGCGCTTATCCATACCGGTGATGGTGGTTGAGTTTGATAATGTCTGGTCTCTTGACATATCATTCATAGTATAACAGTATTGTGTATCATCTTGAGAGTAATAATCCGAGTCTAAGCCAGTACTGCTGGTATCTGCGTAGTTCCTGGCGGTCTCCAGCTGTTCGCAGCGAGGAGAGGGTCCAGGAATCGGTCCGGGAATCGGTCCACCAAAGGCTTCACCTAATTGGTTCCAGTGGAACAGATCCATAGGATCATCTGAGACGGACACATGGACTAGGTCATCGCAATAAAAATCGGGAGTCAAGACGTTCGTGAAATTGTCTGAAAAGAAGTCGGTGTTCTCAAGATCCTGTGGACTCGATGAAGTGCTGACGTCTGGAGTTATTGTTTGCAGGATTGTGGTATCGGCCTCGGTGATAGGGGCTGTGTTTCGGGTGGAGCGGTTGCTTTCAGCGTACTGGCAGGTAATAGACGCTTTCTGAAGCATTTGTTAGAACTCTCGGACAATATGAATACAACTACTTTTATCCAGTTGACCGTACATGACAATGCTGGCATGGCATCGATCCATTGCCTAGTGCTAGTTAGTTACTCCTATCGTTGTGTCCCTGACTCATTGCGATACTTACATGCCACTTTTCTGCGTTTGCAGTTCCCACATGCTCCTCGACGGCGCCTGAGCTTTCGCTTAGACGCAAGATCAGCTCGAGCCGTGTGGTCAACAATGAAGGTGAAAGCTTTGCCCATATCGCCAGAAACAGTCGGTTGCAAAAGATGGTAATTTCAAGAACGGAGTGATTGTGGAAGCCCAGTGTTGGTATATACAGCACGAATGGAAAGGGAGATATAAAGAGTTTGAGTGTAATATGTTCACAGGATATGCACCTAGCACCTGTTGGCTGAACCTGATGTGCGATGAAGTATGGGTATCCATGAAACAAGCCATGCAAGTCGCATGAGTGCAGCATCATAGGCTTTAGCGAGCGGCATCGTGAATGCCACGACGCTGATTCGGGCCGTAGCTAGTAGGGCCGGGGTGCTATGTAGATACACTATGTGCGCGACGGTACTTGTACATAGGAAGCAGGTCGGCCGACCACAGACAATGCGTCCGGCGCCATAACCGCATTTAACTTGTTTTGGCAATTCAGCGCTCCACCCATGATGCAACTAGTCAGCGGATTCAGCGGGCGCTATTAAATACCCGAGCAAAAAACCCTTAGACATATCACCACGCGTCCCACCAAGGACGAATTTGCTGGTAGCGTTGCCCGAGGGCCTCGACTTTGCGTCTTCCAATCAAGGATAGCTTCATACGAATTACAAATTCTAGCTTTGATCTTAGTAATTGATCTACGAAGTAGAGCACACCCCGTGGTATTAGCAGATAACCGAGAACGATCCAATGTACGAACTCATCATTCCATGTGATGGAAATGCACGTATACTAGGTTTAGACGCCGACTAGCCAGAAAGTATTCCGCCTATACCCCGATGTGATAGAGGGTCCATTCTTGGATGCATTGTTCGGTGTTGGATCCAACTTTGCCATTACATCTGAAAATGAACCCTAGTGTGCGTATGATATGTATCTCGTACGAACCACAGAACCTGCAGGCGATTAAAACATGTTGGCGATATGCCCCTGAAACGTTATCGTGACTTTCATATATGATTATCGCTGTCATCCCACGGAAAGACGGGTTGAAACCGTTTCCGGAGCTAATCCCTTCTTCCACCCCCTCCCCCGCGCCCCCCATCCCTCCCATCGCTAAGTATATCCAATATCCCGGTACTTGCGGTTCATGCAGCCCAGCGTCAAATGAGTGGGGTTCTCAAGGAATACCTCGACATACTTAACAATTCCGATATTCGGAGATAAGATTTTAGAAACATTGACAGCATTTACGTTTCTTAGTTGCGACCCAGGCAGTAGTACGAGGCTTTCTCATGTTGAACGGGGGCAAGACGCTGATTCCGCGCAGCACAACGGCATACGTGGAGCGCCGGGGGTAGTGCATCGCCCTGCGTTTCTCTAGTTCGTTTTTGGACCCTGGATGTACGCGCAATTACTGCGTAGAAGGAGTGGATACTTACTGCATCCTTAGAGAATCAGCTCCTGAGCACCTGGATAGTTACATCGTGTCGTTGACAAGTAGCCTGGTCCGCTACTCGTCCTGCCGTTGAATTACCGAAGCCCAAGGCGCTACGCTCAACTGCCAGGTGTATACACGGTATTTAGCGCACGCTCATCGTAACCACCAGCGACACAGGCAGAGAGCGGAAAGTAAATCTGCCCAGAAATGGGGTCAAGGGCTGAACCCTTGGGGTGTTCACCGCCCCATAGGGTACGGCCCTTCAGGGCCAATGTATTACTGTGTTGTGTACACAACTAGCTTCACCGGAGTGCTCGGCAAGTTACTTGACTCGGCTCGTCGCAAAGCTGATGCAGAACGCGGAAAGAAACGCCGTATCCAGCTAGTCATCAGCAAGGTATCTTGCTGAGAAACAATACTGAAGAAACGCCGATTGGAGCGGAATTGTGCTGCACATACGACTGTATTTTAATCAACCAAAGGGGACAGCTTCCTACTGTGTAAGGTAATATCGACCGTGGGCTAACGACTATCGACAAATGTTCTAGAAGAACTGCCTCTTGTCATGTTGCTCTTAATGAGAAGTACATTCGAATACACACTAACAAGGGTGTCAAGGAAAATAGCTCCCGACAATTTTATTTGAAGTAATCGTTTTACGGGACCACGAATCCCCTCGAAGCATGCAGTCCACATATACATGCATTCCATGAGCGTACGCCCCAATTTCATCGGGAGTAAGTGATGAGTAAGGGTAATTCAAAATGTAAAATACGACCCCAGTTGAACGTCTCAGCCTCGGGGCACATGAATACGTACAGGACCCTGGAGCTGTTTTGATCCACACTGCGCACGTAACGTAATCGCTGCTAGTAAATGAGCACATGATCAGCGGACGAAGAGTAATGTCCAAAGTACTAGTAGCGGCTCCATTGGCGCACGGTGATCCCCACCGGTGCGCGGTGATCTCCATCGGTCGTGCTGCAAGATCTTGGCTGGTCATAGTCCCCTTGCCTACTTAAGATTCAGGCTTACACCGTTCACTGCACCTTGGCGCATCTGCTGACTGCCAGAATCGCCTATGCGGCTTACGATGATTTCCCACGTTGCACGACGCAGGGCATATCGCGGTAGCAGCACCAAGCCCGCCCCGCCGTCCCGCTCGTCCTCTTCAAGAGCCTCTTAATCCTCCCGCCCCTTCCGCTCAAAGCGCCGCACTCAACGAAGCTCTCTAATAGCACCGCCTCCATCGTTCGCGCCAGCCGCGGCTCTCGGCGAGCTGTCGAATTAGTCCATCTGATTTACATAATGTACGCTCGCGGTACGGGGTGGAAGGGTGCTAATATTGCGCGCTAAAGACGGGTACGAGGACATCGACAGAATAGATGCCGTCGGGGGGTTATTGAAAACACGAGGCTGAATGCCGATGAATGCGGCAACTTTGGCATGAATGAAGCCCGTTGAGAATAAAATATACTTTGCTGAGATCGGCTTTAGGAAAGTATTATATGATGGTTCCCGTTTCACCGCCGCCTGAACGGTGAAGACAGTATCTTCTCTAAACCTTCTGGTTCTTGGGCAGCCATTGCGATGTCTAAGTATCAAGTTTCTCGGCAATGGCGGTGTCGATGATACTTTGTTGCAATGGTCACCACATCCTTTTGTCGAACCACGTGCTTCGTATGTCTTCTGACCATAGCACTTTTCCATTCTCCACAGGTGAGCTCTTTGCAAATTCGCCGACGGTACTGAGATCAGCTGTTTGACAACAATGATATTGTTAACGAATGGGGGATTTTCCTGCGAACATCACTGGAATAGACCCCGAAGCTTTAGACGCCCGTCTCAGGAAACCGTATCCTCCGAAAATAAGGGAACCGAGCAAAAGCGTACTGCATGTATGCTCATGTATCGTTAGCTATATCTGGTAGCACACTGGCTCGTATCGCTTGCACGACCCCGATCAGCACACAAAGCTTCAGCTTGCTTCTCGAAAGCTGCAACTCTCCAAGTCGCAGAGCCTAATCTTTGGCACCACGGATAAACGGCTACTACCGGTGGCTTGCCAACAGCAACTTTACTCGAAGCGCGGACGCCCTGACGCCTCCTGAGCTACGAACTCCTGCATATCTATCCACCAAACATGGTCGATCAATATTGGAAAATACTCAATGGCGTCAATATATGCACCATTTAGCTCCATAGCACATCTGCCATGGCCAATCCCAAATGCATGTTCGACTCACAAATGTGGCGTGAGGCGAGTCTCCTCTACCTTTCTGATACAGGGTACAAAACAGTGTGGAGTATCACAAAAGCTTCTGTACTAATTGATATTTGAATTTCTGCCTTTTATGACACGAACAGAATCCTATAACTACTCTTGGCAGCAAAAAAAGCGGGGTATCGTTAGAAGACATATTCGTATTGCTTGAAGCCAGACCACAATTGTATGATTATGCCTGCAACAAGTGGAGAAGCAAGGCTGCAATTTACTCCACATTGGCTGCCGTCAGCGACAGAAGTAGCTAGAGAAGCGAATCGGGCTCGAATAAGAAACAAGATTTCCATAGTTGCGCACAATGCGATTCATGGAGAATGCGGTGGTGTGACTGCACATCTCGGTACCCCCCGACATAGCGAGTGAACTTTAAATTTCCCCGTCCGTGAGATGCGTCTAAATCATGATTAAATAGTTGAAAGAAAGACAGAATGATGTGGACTAGGTTTAGGCAGTGTCATTGCCAATATTTCTGCCCCCCCCCCCCCCCCCCCCCATACTGGACCCGCTCAACGAGACTCCTTTGAAAAAAAAACAGCCGGCCAAACATGTCTCTTGACTCTTGCACCAGAACGCACTGATAGAATGCATGTTGATGGGACATCGGTCCTTTGAATTAACGATTCGGTCATATTGCAACAAGAACAAGCCACCCGGTAGCCTCGCCGGGCTGGTATCCATAAAGTAACGCCAGCCTATCCATGTACCACCGTGCCAAATAAACAGAGTTAAGCAGAAATAAGGACATGTAGCAGGCACAATATCTCGACTCCGGATGTTGTCGGAGGATGATTAGGAAGAAATCGCCTAGTCGACACCCTCGACTTTTCTCAAAAACTCTCTTACACGGCCAACTTCGACGCCTTCGCCTTCTTCGCTATCCAACGCCGCTACTAACCCTTCGAGACACTCTTCGATTCGGTTTTCTTCTACTTTTGTACACAGGCTGACGACTTTGCGATACATCATCTCCAGCTGCCCGTCCTTTTCCTTCAACATTCTGCTACGCTTGAGAAGCGCCGTGTTGGTAGCAGTGTACGTCTCGATCCGCTGCCGAAGAACAGAGGCGGCTGGCAGTTGTTGGAGGAGGAAATTTTGACATTGGGGCTGATGAGACACTTGGCTGAGCGTAGTTGGATCCAAGGGTACTAACGTCGATAAATAGATTGGGCCATCAGAGGCACGCCTATCCAGGTGGTCTCCTGCTTGTCGGAGCTCATAGGGAAGGTCATCTTCTTTGATAAGCAATCCTGCACCTTGGGTGTCGGCGTACCCAATCCTTTTCTTATCGTGCAAATCAATGGCACCATCGTTGACTGAAAGCATATGTCGTTGGGGTTCCAGCCATCGTTTGAGATTCGATATCCGTT